GCGCCTGGTCTTCGACCGCCATGGCCTCGCACTTGCCTGGAGGCCTCGCTGGGCCAGGCCTCTGCGGCGCCTGCAGCAGGAGGAGCGAGCGGGCGGCTGCCGCGGCCTGCGGCCTCCAACCCCGAGTCCCGGGCCCGAGCACTAGAGCCCGACCTGCAAGGCCTCGAGAGCCAACCAGTGCACTTAGAATAGACCCTGAGCAGAGACTTTTACCTCGATGGCGCGTCCCTTGAGCCAATCAGATGCCGTGCAGCTCCTGACGTCATTAGCCTGCGCCAGCCCCGTGAGGGCGGCAAGGCCTGTTGACCAAAGGCGACAAAGTGCAAGCGGGACCTTTGGGTCCCTGGCTAGGACATTTGGCCTGAATCCTGTGCAGCTAGTCTCATCAGTAAAGTCTTAAATCTTGAGGAACTTTGGCTACAGACCCCTAATCTGTGCTGGGAAGGTTTCTGAGGGGCAAATGAAGAAGGCCTCTGCGGAGCCCAAGTAGGGCTGCCGCTCCCTGACAAAATAGCCAATCCGGTGAGAAAGCTGATATGACGTCACTAAGTGCTGGCCAAATTGTTGCCTACGGAGCGCGTGAAAGCCAGCGGGCGCGGGTGGCGGCCGAAAAGGCGGGAATGTGTTTCCTTATCAGTTCCAGCTCGTAGAGGCCACCCGCATTCCTTGGCTCATGGCCTCTTCTTCCATCTTCAAAGCTATAAATGGCACACACTTAAAATTTCTTCTGACTCTTCTTTGTCCTCACATCTTTTTCTGGACCACAGCTGGGAAAGGTTCTCTGCTTTCAAAGGCCCATGTGATTAGATGGGACCCACCTAAATCATCCAGAATAATCTCCCCATCTCAAAATCCTTAATCTTCCTAACTCCTGCAAAGTCCCCTTTGCCATGTAAGGTCACATATTCACCAGTTCCAAGAATTAGAGTGTGGACATCTTGGGGGGGCCTACCACAGCTGGACATGGGTGAGCACTAGAATTTTCCACTACATGGCTCTGCTCAAATTTCACAGCATCAGAGAGGCCTACCCTGACCCACTTAACTAAACAGAAGCTCCTACCAATCATTCTCGTTTCTTTGTCCTGTTTTATTATTTTTTTAGCACTTATCAACTGATGTATTAAATATTTGTCATTCTGTTTACCATTTATCTCTTCCACTAGAATGTGAGCTCCATGGGAGCAGGGATTTTGTTTTCTTCATGGCTGTATCCCTGGTATCTAGAAAGGCGCGTGACACATGGTACATGTTCAATAAATACTTTTTGAAAAACTGATCAATGAATGGTCTAACTTGCAACCCAACTGAACCTGAAGTGATGCCTCAAACATCTGTATTATTAGGAGTCATAGTAAACCCCAAATAACTTTGTCTTAAGACACAAATTTATTTCTCTTTCATAGAAGAGGTCTGGAGATGGTCAAGCCACCAAGAACCTACTAGCTTTCCTCTCCACCATCTTTAGAACGGTCCTTGTCCCCGTGGTCCAAGATGGCAGACAGTGCTCCAGCCATCACGTCTGTATCCATGCAGCAGAATGGAGGAAGGCAAAGAAAAAAGGCCAAAAGGCCCACACAGCTGACTTATAAGGATGTTTGCCAAAAGTTGCTACACAATTGCTCTGTTCTCATTGGCCAGAAGTTAGTCACATGACCACACCTAGCTGCAAGACAGGTTGGAAACATAGCCTTTGATGCTGGGCTATCTTGCACCCAGCTAAATAGGATGTTTTGGTGACAAGGAAAGAAAAGAGAAAGGATATTTAGGAAAATTAGCTTACAGGGTTTGTGTCAGACCCTCAGCCAATCAGAACCCAGAATATACTATGACATCACGTGGTGCTAGAGCAGCTTTTTGGCATTTCCAGGAAAAGAGTGGCTAAGATTGGAAGTAGTTGATGTCTGGCCATGACATTCCATTCCACCTTCTGCTGCCCTGACCCTGGATTGTGTCTGTTTTGTTCCATGGTGTTACCACAGTCCCTAGAACATAATAGGTACTCAATAAATATTTGTTGAATAAAGAGGTGGGTCCTTTTTTTTTATTATTATTATTTATTGATTTTGAAAGAGAGAGAGAGAGAGAAAGGGAGGGAAAGAGAAACATTGATTTGTTGTTCCACCTATTGATGCATTCATTGGTTGATGGTGGGTCCTATTATTATTCCCATTATACAGATGAAGAAATTGAGGCTCCCAGGGGGACTCCGCCTTGAGATGAAGGCAGGGATCAAACCCAGGTGTGTTTGGGTTTGGCCAGAATTCTTAACCACATCTTCAATGAAGAAACTAGCTCAGAGAGGTGAGGAGTCAGCAACCATTACACAGCAAGCAGTTGGCACTCAAATTTAGTCTCTAGAGCTGAGCTGTCCAATACAGGAGCCACATTTCAATTTAAATTAATTAAAATTAAACAAATTTTAAAATTTAATTCTTCAGTCGCATTAGCCACATTCCAAGTGGCTGGTGATCAGCATACCGAACAGAGCAGATACAGAACATTTCCACCATTGCAGAAAGTTCTATCAATGGCACTGTCCCAGGGACCATTTTCATGAAGATCATGGGCTCTGGAGCCAGACTGCCTGGGCTCAAATCCCTCTCTGCCTCTCAGTTTTCTCATCTATAAAATGAGGGTGATGATGATAATAATGGGAAGTAACCCACAGGGCATAGTATGAAGATTAAATGAGTTAATATGTGTATGTCATGGGCTTAGAACAATGCCTGGCACAGAGTAAGGGCCATTTGAGTTTGTTGTCATTAAATACACAGCGGCCACATCTCCCCGAGAAGAGGAGAGCCCAGAGGCTAGGACATAGATCAAGGAAGTTTTTCTGGGCTCCCCAAGGAAGTAGGAGTTGAGAGCAAGGAAAGAGGGGTGAAGAGGCCAAGAGGGGCTGTGGGAACCAGGCAGGCCTGGACAGGCCTGACCCTACTGCCTCCCACCCAGGGACTGGGAAGGTAGGAGATGAAAGTAAGGAGTAGGCAAGCCCCATATGTTCCTCATGGCCCAAACTTTGTTCCCAGCGCCCGAGACCAATAGGCGTGAAATCCACATCTGGGACCCACTTCCAGCATGGTCATTCCCTCTGCCTCGGGCACCAAGCCCAGTCTGTCTGTGTATTAAAATGGAGGCGCCACAGGTGGCTTCCTGAGCTAAGAGGAGGCCCCTGCCTACCTCAGCATTGCTAATGGCTTCCTACAAGAGCAGACTCTGTAGTCCATAAGAGTCTGAGTAGTAATTTGCCCAGCAGAGAACTGGGAAAGAGCCCCAGTTAGAGGCAACCATTTTTGCAAAGGTCCCAAGGCCAAAGGCCAAAGGGCCTGGTGTGGTAAAAGAAGAGAGATGAAGCTGGAAACTAGTGGTGTCTAGATCATGGGGTGCCTCTAGGGCCAGGCTGAGGGCCTGGGTTTTTCCTCAGGGGTACTGGGGAGCTATGGGAGGTCTATGAGCAGGGATGGGAGGCAGAGCCAGTTCTGAGTGAGAAACAGTGAGGTGGATCATTGAGGTGGATCAGCTCACTGGAAGAGCCCAGAGAAAGCCTTGAACTCAGCCTGGAGGTCAGGTAACTTCCCTCAGCTAGACTGCTCCAAAGTTCCCAACCCTCAGAAACTGTAAGACAACAAATGTTTGTTGCTTTAAGCCACTAAATTTCAGGGCAGTTTGTTATGAGGCAATGGGTAATTAATACACACCTTTCTTTCTCGTGCTCTCTCGTCTCCATTTCTGCGCTCTCTGGGTGTCTCTGTCTCCTCCATCTCTAGGTCCTTCAACGTCCATTTCCAGTGCTCTGTCTTTACTGCCTCTTTCTGATGCCCTTATGGGCAGTTTGTCTGTCTCGGGGCCTGCCTCCCTCTGCGTGGGCCTGTGTCTCTGCCTCCCTCTGCGTGGGCCTGTGTCTCTGCCTCCGTTCCTCCCCGCTGAGATCTCTTTCTCTGCCCGAATATCTCTGTTTATAGATGTGCTCGCGTGCCCGCCTCTCCTCTCCGGCCTCTCTGTCCCTGGCTCCAGGTGTGTTTCTGCGCCTCTGTCTGTCTCTCCAGGGTTTGCTGTGCCCCCGTCTCTCTCTCTTCTTTCTGTTTCGGTCTCTCCGCACCCGCTCCTGCCGGGCAGCCTGTTTTTCCATCTCTAACCTGCGGGTGGGTGTCTGCCTCTGGGTCTCTCTGCTTCTCTCTCTCTGTGTCTCTATGTCTGTCCCCCGAGCGTCTGCATCTTCTCCCCGCCTCCGTCCGCAGCTCATCCTGGGTCGCCGCCTCTGTCCCCCTCTCTCTCACTCAGTGCGTGTGTCTCCTCCCATCTGCAGCCCGCCATCTCCCTCCGCCAAGTCTCTCCGCAGCTACCCCAGGCTCCCCTTCCCTTCCAGCGCCCCCGCACCCCGCGACCTCCCCGCCGCGCGCGCCCGGGCCTTCCCCGCTCGTCCTCCCCGCCCCTCGCTCCCTCTCCTGGTCTCTGCCTCCCCCTCCTGGTCAGCGGCCCTCACCGCACCGCAGTCCCCCAGGGGATCCCCAAGCCGGGTTAAGGCAGCCCCTGGTGGAGGCTGGAGGGGAGCACCCCGCGGGGGCTGCGGGCGCTGGTGCAGGTCCCAGTCAGGGTCTCCGAGAGCAGGGGGACCCCGGCTCCTCCGGGGTCAGGGCGCTGAGCACGCAGACCTGGGAGGCTTCTCCCAGCTCCACCTTAAGCGCCCCCCTTCCCCCTTCTGCGGAGGATGGGAACTGCCAGCTCC